AACAAGCTTGACTTGCCGAATCGTTTAAGCGACCCAGATGAGCGCTCCTAAAACACGGAGGTCAGACGAGAAGCATCACGGTAGCATTAATTACCAGAGACCAACTTTTTCGCAGAGAATAGTGAGGTAATGTGTCCGAGTATCAAACGCAGTCTGTTCGCCTACGCTTGAACCGGCCTCAACTGCCGCCTTGCCACCCGTTCTGAATGGCACACCCAAAGGCGACCCCGAAAGTGGGTCCATCGAGTGGGCATCACTGTCAGGAGCACGTATGGTATTTCAATTCGCTTTCCAAGCAAATGGCTGGGGTCGCGTCACAGCTCCCAGCTCCCTGCGCACGGCTCCCTGCGCACAGCTCCCACCTCCCTGCTCACAGCTCACAGCTCCCAGCTCCCTGCTCACAGCTTACAGCTCCCGGCTCACAGCTCCCAGCCTCCTGCTCATAGCTCCCAGCCCCCTGCTCACAGCTTACGGCCCCCTGCTCACAGCTCCCAGCTCCCTGCTCACAGCTCCCAGCTCCCTGCTCACAGCTCACAGCTCCCGAGACCGCACTGCTCATTGTGTGTAGTCTGCTGCCATTTCGTGTCAACCATTTCCTGAGGTTCGAAAAGCAGCGGACAACGCACCCGGCGGCATATGCTAGAGGCTATAGATAACTCAGGCAGCTATCACTCCCGCGGCGTCACAAGCTCTCGTGTCGGCCGTGGCGATGACGTTCGAGACATGCGGGATTTGACAACGGATCTTATAAATGTTTGGGATTCCATTGCAAAATAGGTTGCTACGAGCGGCATTACTCAAGGAATTCACATTTTGTGTCGCTGTTTGATTCCTTTAAGCCAGTTCGTTTTTTTGTGGTATGGTTAATGGATTCGCAACAGGTTTGGGTTCATCATAGACTCGAACAAAAATGAAAGCAAGGTTCATTCCGCAGCCACCGCGGTCCCTATTCCTGTGAGAGCGACGCTGAGTATGTAATCCCCCAACCCCGTCAGTAAGTGTGATTGCGTCGGAATTTCCAGTGTGTATGCACATTGAATACCACACGCACTACCAAAGTTAAGTCTTTACACTGATATGACTGATGTGATATAAACATATCTTCACTAACCATTGTGTAATCGAATAGCCAAATACAACTACTGGGCGGCGGCAGGATCACTTACCAGCACGTAAACGTCGATGGGGTCATCGAACGGCTTGAGGTCGGTCCTGAGCATGACCACCCGGAACTGCACTGCGGACGGAGGGACGGTTCAGCATGTGACACACATCAGCACCAAGGACATCTGGTCTGCCGCTCCTGCAGGCAAGTCATATGACGTCACTTGTCATGTCGGCGGTCTCAGAGGTCGCCGTTTGCTGGCAAAAACACGGTATCGCGCCGACGGCATCGACCTTTTTAAGCCGGCTCGTGTTATAAAAAGTGATCTGGCCAGTGGTTACATAGCGTAGGACGTTTCCAGTGTTCGGCGATTCGCATACAGTCCTTCATTTGCTCTGTGGGCGACAATGAAGAGAGGGAGTAATGCACGAGTAGCGGTCCAGGTCAACTCATTTGTGTGTGCGCAGTAATTCAGTTACACGCGCCAAATAAGGCAAGCAGTTTTTTCGTGGCAGGGAACGTATTTGTGCCCGTCACCGCCACTCACAACGTTACCACAGAATCAGCCGGCAGGAGCTAACGATTTCCCATACCTAGCCCGTATGCTCTTCCCCAGAATGCCTGACGAGCGGCATGACACACGTCCAAACGGGCCGCCTCACGCTCAACCGGTCGGTGCGCGGCACTCGCGGTGCAGCACGTCCGAACCCTTAGTGTGAAACAATATTTGCACAGCGGCAGTGAGTCAGGCCTGGCCACTGGGCGCAGGCGACACCGCCGTGTCCACAGTCCATGCGGACGTGCACCGGCGGTACCACGCGCCCAATCAGGGCATTCTGTCGTGCATGGCCGAGCGCGCCGGGCACTGCGCGGAGCTGACTCAAACCGGGCGTATGCAGAGTGCACATCGGCACAGTTAGGCGCCATTTGTAGCCCCAAACAGCAGTGTGCACAGTGGTCTAAAATATTCGGTCTGTGGTGTTGTCGCTCGGGTTTGCCAAGAGGTATCCATGTAGAATACCCATTTTCCGGTTGCAAGACCACGTGGCGCAGCGGTCCCTCTGGGACCGGTTTTACCGTACCGGTTTTGCTAGTTCGGATTCAAACTTCGAGCAAAGATTGCAGGCTAGCCAAAGCCAATGCAGGCTGCCGGCGAGCAGCTGACTTCAAACGCTACTCTAGAACTTACTTTGGAGTTCACGTTAGAACTTAACCGAAGTTACGTTAGTAAATTGGCATGGAATGTATCCACGTCAGTTAGGTCACTGTGGCTTGTGCGGAGGTTTTCCAACACCACCAGTACAGCAGTGTAGTGACACATCGGCATACCAGTGCCTACGACCGTCCGCACTGTCCACGGCGACCACTGGCAAAGCCGGGGTGGACCCAGAGTACTGTGCGGTTCGTGACGTGACCTACAACAGCGTTCACAGGGTCACCGATAACATAGTTACATAGAGCAAACGTAGGACTCCCAGGATCACGGTCATCTCTGAGCTTGTAACGACCAGCCTGACTGACGGTGTTCAGTGCCCAGGCGCGCACTGAGGATTCCGTAAGAGGCTCGAAGCCTTCGAAGAGCACCATGCCGCCATCCAATGAGGGCGCCATTCCAAGCAGAAATCGTTATTTAATGCCAACTTCCTGCTAGAACACGTGACGTAGCGGCCCATTTTGACGGAACTAAACACCGAATTACGTCCGCTATTTGCCCTTGAACTATGGCCTGCGGCCGGTGGCGGCGGTCGCGCTAAAGGTCATTTGGCACCAGGGGGCAGGGCGGACAGTGCCGAGCATTGCGGCACGTTAAGCTTTTGCCACTAAATTCTGCCGTTGCCTGGAATTGCGTGGTCAGATGGAAAGGGACAGGGCTCACACGACGAGTACTGCTTAGCGTGGGCGCTGATCCCAGAAATCCATCTATTCAAAGGGTTGGAATCATTTTTATTTATTTTTAAATGTGAGTCGAGCCGCTGGAATTTAAGCTTACTACAGTTAGGGCATTCATGGTAGACTCGATCTCTTAACTGACGGAGTGGAGGAGCGTTATCAGCGAAGCACGAATGGCCGGTATACGCCTGCAGGCGTGCTGATGATTCAGGTGTCGTATATATAATCCGGGCTCCGGGCACCCCAGTCTAAGCTCGGAAAGCAGCATCTTGCCTAAAGTTGAGGGACGCCAATTGACGTAGGCCTAGAATGACTTATAGCTGGGTTGAGCGCGCCTCTCCGTCTGGTACTCGCGTCACCCACTCGCCTGGGCTTCGGCGCGAGACGGAAAGACGCTACTCTTGATGGAAGAGCGCTGCAGTTCTCAGTGCCACATTGCAAAATTGTCAAATGGTAGCATTGCAAGGTGCCACAACTTATAGGTTTGAGCTGCTGCAATTGGATGCACGCGCCGAACCCACCCATCTTAGGCGCAAATGCCTCATCTAATCACTTCCTCAGCACAGAATGAGCTAGGACACGTGTCATTATCACCACAGGGCGCGGCGACCACTGGGACCGTTCCCTGACTGATCGGCCGCCGCGGTAACTCGGGTCGACGTGGCTCCGCCCTGGGGCAGCCGTCAGCTGGTCCGAGCACGCAGCCTTAAAACACGTGCTGAACGCGCCACTGATGCGCCCGTACGAACCCGTGCCAGACGGCCGGGTCTGCCGCTGACCTGTCTGTCCGAAGTTGTAGATGGGTCTGCTGGTCTGGATGAGCACGGTGAGGAAGCGCTGGGCGAACTCGAGCCGCGTCTCGTTGACGAACACGGAGCCGCCAACGGAGCCCTCGTGGTCGCCCTCCAGCCGCAGCCGGTACGAGCCTTGCGTTGACGTGCTGGGGATCTGCGACCGGGGGAACAGCGGCGTTAGGGGGAAAAGAGCAGAGAAAGAGGGTAGAGGGAAGAGAGGCAGGGAAGGCAGCGAGAAACAGGGGAAGCAGAAGAGGGGAGAAATAGGAACAAAAGGAAAAACATTGGCAAAGGTTAGAAAAATTAAAAACTGGTTTGAGCTGTTAAACGACATAGACTAGTATTTGCATTTTCAATTCAACTGAGTAGCCCAACAGTATACTTATATGTCAAACGAACATCATTCAGTTAGAAGATGCTCATGTTCGCGAGCGTGTCAAACGGAAAGCACACATAAAGGCACCAGGACGTCTCAGTGTGGCATTTCACGAGTGGCTCAAATCCGTTTGATGCCAGCCTTCCCGGCCACGACCTCGTCCGGTGCCGACGCTCGCAGCACCGGCGCTGTGGCGTACCTTCATCATCATGATCTGGATGTCGCCGCGGCCCATGGTCTTCATGCTGGAGGCAATCTCGACGCCGTCGCGGGAGACGGAGGCGCGCACGTCCAGCGGATACTGCAGCGTGTCCAGGTGGAGCGGCCCGCTGGAGCCGAGCAGCACGGCCAGCACCCGGAAGATGGTGCCCGGCCGCACCAGCCGAGACGCCAGTACCAGGTACCGGCTGGTGGCGGAGACGGCCACACGTCAGGGGACCGACGACAGGTGGTGCTGGTGGGGCGGGGGAGGGGGCACCAGCCGAGACGCCAGCACCAGGTGACGGCCGGTAAAGGGCACGTCTCTGCAACGGCGGTAGGTTAGGATACCGATCGCGTGTTGGCCCCGGAAGATTCAAGACTTAATAGCTGTTGTTCGTTTCAAACACGCGCTTTAGCAATTTGCAAAGGAGATGTTTGGTCCGTGATCTTTTACTGAAAAATGCCACCCTTTATATTCGTCTAGCGCGCTGTAATTCACGGCAAGGCGCTATTGGAATATGACTGCAATCGGAGGCCGTATGCTGCATCAATTGGTTTCTGAATTCCCTGTAAGACACGCCAGTAATGATGGCGACAGCGTCGGCGTAGATACAGAGCCAGTGACTGCAGCAGCCGGGTGAGATATTTGGAATAGATCGTAATTGTCGGTGCATGCATCGCATTGCGCTATCCACTCTGCTCACTTCAAAGGCACACGCTCGCTTCCTGAAAAAACAACACACGTTATCGAAGGTGAAGCAGTTGCACCACCGCAGTGTAACTGCCGGGTATAACTTCATCTTCTGCAAAAACATCCCAGGGAAGACCCCAGATAAATCATGTCATGCTATAGAGGTTACATTTGACGGAATCCCGAGTTTATTTTGTTGTACTTATAGTGCGTATGGCTGTATATACGCCCGATGGTTAATCACATGGTTCCTTCAGTGGTGCGTATCTCGCAACAAAATTAGTTCCTAATCACGCAGTGAATGAGCGAGCTCCCATACCATCTCTGAGGCCAATGGAAATGAGCCATGTCCAATGTATGTCTGCGTTGAGTTGTGAGGAACAATCCCGATTCAGACCAATGACTAACAATAGCATCTAATGCGTGCTCATTTGGAAAGCCTTGATCAAAATTAGAACAGCTAAGACAGTGTGAAGTATTACAAACAAAATTCCTAGAACATTTTCTGCTTTCACGTCATCAAAGCCCTACTGTTGGGGAACATTTGTATCAAAGCTACCGAAATAAAACAGCCTTATCCATAGCCGGCAACCGCCACCAGAAATACCGGAATGCTGCTGATTTTTCTCTGTTATAAATCCGCTTATGAATGTTGAAGATGGCTGCTATTGTTAATCCCTGCCGACTCTGCCTGGCCCTGTGTATCCGAGTCCGGCCCATGGTCCGTGAACCAGTGAGGAGATGATGACGTTACTGTCTTTTTCACCGGCGGGCCTTTTTGAGTCTTAGCTCATCAAAGTTGCGCCTCGCCCTTTCCACATGCATGAGCCTCGGCCGACAAATAAATTCGCTGCCAAACGCCAGAGACTTGGCGTCAACCGCTGCAGATGGGATGCCCCCTACGTAACGAAAGGTGACGACGAGCGGGGCTGCCGACCAGCGTATGTGAAAATCAGCCCAGCGCGTCCCAGAATTGAGGGAACTGTAGAACGGTTATGGTTGGATACTGTTCCGCTGTCCGTGGCACCTCACGACACGATGGCAGTGCAAGGTATCCCACATAGTTATTGTCTTCGAATAAAGTTTGGACACGTACTTGAAGGTAAACAAGCACACAAATAAGTCCCTTAAATTACCAATAGTGTTGGTGCCTTGTTTTCAGGCCACTCGCGCCCCGCTCCTGCCTTTTTATTTCGGAAATGATAAATATTTGCTCGATTCTATCTGCCTATCGGTGGATGAGATATACAAGCTGCGGGTGTCCCTGCACGATGCTCAAACCGAGGCTATCCAGCATACAAGAGCTCGCGCTGCCATTCCAAGCCATGGACCGAAACACTATCTGGTAAGCGTCATGCTCAGTAACCGCGCTAGTGGTTTTCAAAGAGCGCGGACTCATTCCTCTTTTTACATGCATGGCTCCAAAGCTGATGTCGTTAGCCATTTTCCTTGAGTGTGGCCGGCCCGTTGTCATTTCCCTGGCAAATGACAACCGTTCTAGGCGTCCTGCCATTGTCTTCAAAGTGTAAAGAAGATGGAAACAAGATAGCGCGGGTCGAGTCCTGCATTGTCGTGCCAGAGCGATGGAGGTCGGCAGGGTTTTGGGATGGTGTGCACGACTGAGGTGAGAAGGGTACGGGATGGTTTGCTCCTTGCCATCTGATCTTTCACATAACGGCGCGTAACATTTAATTGATGTTGAAAAGTTGTTTTTAATTCATGGCCTATTTTCCTTTCAGTTCACTTTCATGGATTGCCGTTTTCTTTTTAGTTCCGGTGCTTTTGATTCTAAACAGTGTTATATTCTGTGCTGCCGTTGAGTCTCAGTTTTCTTTTTTAGGAGGGTTAATAATGACGTCCTCAGCTAAACTCGCCGCGTTACAACAAAAGGACAGAAAGGTTTTGGAACCAAGCCGTAATCCATATTATGCACAACATGAGACAAATTCGGTGGGCCAGTGAAGGCCGACAGAAATGTGAGATAATCAGAGAACGATGAGCGGGCGACCCTGTTCCTTACCCCATTAACGTGAGGGCCTCAATTGCATCACTAGACGACGGACGAGGTGAGGAGCATCAGCCGCTGTCCCCGGCGGGGGTTCATGGTAGGTCCCCACACATAGTGCGTAGGCAGAGTCTAGGAACAGCTTATCAGCTGATAGAGCTCGGGAGGCAGCAAAGATGCCGCAGTCTGTTGGAGCCGGCCAGCCACCCTCGGGACAAGCAGGCGGCTGAAAACTCAGTCTAGCTTCCGAGTAGAATTGCAGTTCGGGCGGCGCCTAAGCTCTCTCTCTCTCTCTCTCTCTCTCTCTCTCTCTCTCCTCTCTCTCTCTCTCTCTCTCTCTCTCTCTCTCTCTCTCTCTCTCTCTCTCTCTCTCTCTCATCTCTCTCTCTCTCTCTCTCTCTCTCTCGTCTCCTCCTCCCTCTCCTCTCTCCTCTCCTC